TGTCATAGCTTTTCGAATTGAGAATGTTAAAGTTTTTGTGTATAAGCTTTAATCACGTGCCGTGCCGTGGTAGCTCTGATGGCTAGCGCTCATTTTAAGTTTCACAGTACGCGGCTTCTATCCTCGCCGGCACAAATATGATTGTGCAATTTTAAGTGCTGATATACCACGTTCTCGGCGGTGAAGGAAAACATCTTTTGGAAACCTGCATGTCTTAGAAATAAAAAAAGAATATATTTCGAAGACATGCGAAGTTCGGTTATACGTCCAAACGGCAGCGCGGCAGACACTTCCTTGTCTTAAAACATTTTGGAGATGGGAGGAGGCCTGTGCCCAGCAGTGAGACGCACTTTATGGCGGCTGTACACTCTCGACGAGGGCCCAAGAGGCAAGGCGAGGACGAGAGTGTACAGGATATTTTCGCTGAGCCTTGCCTTCCCTCGCCTCGCCTCGCGTGCTCTCACGCTCGTGTCGGTTTTTGCTGTGCGAGTCAAAGGGCCTCACCTTCCCTTGCGTTGTTGCGTACAGTATATTTGGTTATCCTACTATCACAAAGTTTTTATGTGGAACCAAGAGAGCGAACTCAATTTTCTTGAAATTTATTCTATTTTAGAGTGAACCTATTTTGTGGTTTGTGGTGAACGCATCGTTACCACAAAGAGAAAAATCCATCCGTCCGAAATCATACGTCCATCTCCTCGCCGTCCGACACTGTAACTGAATAAACGAGAATGTACAAGGTTACACTCGTGAAGCGCTTCTCGTGCGAGAGGCTTGCGCGAGGCCGCCATGACGAATCCTGGACCGTGGAGGTTTTATATTAATTCAAAGTGGCTACACCATCAAAACGGCAATTTCTCTCTTTGTAATAAGATCCTGTTTTAAAAAACTGCAAAGTCATCGTGATAAATAATGTTTCGTGAATGTGAATAGTAAAGTAAAAGTAGTAAAACCAAATTGTAATCGAGCACTGGGGGCAAAAAAGCAGGGAAGAAGAAAGGCACAGAAAGCACCAATGAAATTGTTAATTGCAATTTTAAGTGCTGATTTACCACGTGCTCAGCGGTGAAGGAAAACATCGTGAGGAAACCGACATGTCAGAAAAATAAGAAAAAAATATTTCGAAGACATGTGAAGTTCGCTAACATGCATTGGGGCAGCGCGGCGGACACTTCCTTGCCCTAAAACCCTCTCAGAAATGTGGGGAGGCCTGTGCCCAGCAGTGGGACGTATATAGGCTGTAACTGTAACTGTACCAAAGAAGATAGATAGTAGGTATATGTTATATATTATGTAAACTTATGTATTTGGGTAGTGAAAGATACGTTCAATTTTAAATCAACTTTTATTAAATATTACAAATGAGGAATATCAAAACTTCCGATAAAACCGAATATGCACGACAGTTAATGGTAATCTTAAATAATTAACCAACACTTAGTATTTCAGTACGCAATAATCAGTATTACCTTTTAAAAATTAAATTACTCTTACATATTTTTGAATTTTTCGATTATTTTTTTAATTTTCATTATTATTTCTAATAATTGCAAAAATTCGTAGCATGTATAATTTTTTTAGAAAATCCAAAGGGATGCAGGTTTCCTGGGACATGGCGGCCAACAAATTATTCCCTATGTGTTGAGGAGATAAGTCATTTTTATTTCTAATGAAATAATCCATAAATACAACAACAAATACAACAATTATTTATAGATATCTAAAATTTCTTGACTCTCTAGTGGTATTTTTAATAGTGTATATTTCAGTTAATTTATTTTAATAAAATTATTGGCGATATATTAGTTTTATTGTCATGGTATTTCCCCACAATTCTCGTTTAGATCATATCGACTTCCATTAAAATGATTCACATATTTTTAGGTATTATAAAACATTACTAAAAATTATACTAACAAAACAAGGGCCCTTGTTTTGTGTAGTGGAATATATTATAATTCTAATCACTTAAAATCACTTTCAGTAATACTTATATACTATAATATCATTTATTTAATAACAAAATTAATATTTATCAAAGCATAAATCTAGCATGCATGACTATAAAAACTAATAACATTACTTGGTAACATAAACTTAATACCTACATGAATAGAATTGCAATATCAATATGTATAACAGTCGTATTAAGATATCAGTAATATTTATATATTAATTGAAATATTATAATATCACTTGACGAATATATTCATATTAACCCCCTAAAAATATACAGTAGAGAGACCTTGCATATTTTCTGGGACTTTGTTGTAATAGCGTATACATTGCCCCAAGAATGAATTACTGACTTTGTGGAGTCGAGAAACTGGTATCACTAGCTTGTGTTTGTTTCTAGTATTTACAGGGTGTATATTACTTCTTTTTACTAAAACTACCTTTGTATTTGTGAACATATCAAATTTTCATAGATATACTCAGAGGCCAAAGTTAATATATTTATTTCTTAAAAATTTCTCTAAGGTACTCTCTCGGTTTTAAGTTGTAAATAGCTCTTATGGCCCTCTTCTGCAAAACAAAAATAGTTTCTAAATCAGCCGTATTCCTCCATAGCAGAATCCCATATGACATTATGCTATGGAAATAGCTGAAATAAACTAATCTAGGTGTCTCGACACTAATGAGATCTCTAATCGTTTTTACAGCATAAGCTGCAGAGCTTAGTCTGCCTGCTAGTTTAGATATATGGGGGCCCCACTGAAGCTTAGCGTCGAGAGTGATGCCAAGAAAAACAGAAGATTCGGCAGGACTCAGTTTTTTCCCATTTAAAAACACATTGGTATTCGGATTATTAATATTTGTTGTTACAAATTTAATACATTTAGTTTTATTGCCGTTTAAATGTAGATTATTAACGTTATTGGAAGCTGTGGCCCATAGACACCTATATCTTTGATCTATTAAGAATCTAACTGTGGTAGCGGTGTCACTCCTAAGGACTAAAATTGAATGCGTCGTTACCAGTTAAAATATTTTCTTATTCTTAACAGTGGTCTCTACTAATTATTCTTTACGCTTACCATATCAATCATTCAACGCAGTGTTGCGAGTTTTGCGTAGGCGACAACGGCCGCCTTACACATTGTCGACAACCACCATAGCATACAGACCGCATATTAAATTACAACATTTTATATTTGTTATATAGTCCACCTAACGAAATAACAAATGGTCTTTCGACAAAAATATGAAGATAAATAGCGCAAAGGAACTATGCAAATACTGTCTGCCATTTTTTTGCCTTTAACTTAAACGATTTTCTACAAGCGAGCATCAAACCATAAAACAAGAACAATTGAGAAAAAGTCGTACACCACTACCAGCATCCAGAACATCGTCTGTAAAAATTATCGTGGGCTTTCACGTAAGCATTGCAGACTTCATCCAAAGGACCAAGGACACGATTCCGATTAGATATATTTAAACATTTTTCTTTAATTTCAGTATTTTCTGCAATTACTAAAAATAACTTACAATAATACATTATTAGCAAATAATTGATAACCTCACTCTTTAGCTTATTTCACGCTGTCCTTCCCTGGTCGGTTCTATCATAACTGACCCGTTTGTATAGCAGCCGAAAATCTCCTGTGTGATACTACTTTCAGTTCCATCAAAAAGCAGGTATTGATCTTACAGTTATATATAACAGGATTTATAGCACACTTTCTTCGAAGTATACATAATTAAACGAAGTAAATAAAGTTCCATTTCGCATCATAACTGTAGAGTCTCTGGCCCAATTTTTTTGAAGATGTTGGGATGTTTGAACGGAGTTGAATGAATTTTTTGTTCAGAGATAAAGCTTATTTATTTATTTACTCTTTATTGTACACCAAAATACAAAAGTTAAATCTAAATTAGAATATGTACAATAGGCGGTCTTATCACTCCGAAAGTGATTTCTTCCAGACACCCTTTGCGTAGAGAATTGATGCAAACAAAATTTAAAATAGAGGGGGGCGTACAAAATAATAAAAAAAAAATATAAATATACATACAATTAAATATGAGTAAAAATTATGTATAAAATATCATATAATAGATTAAATGAAAAGAGTACGAGAAAGGAAAAGTAATTTATCTAATAGCGTTCTAAGTAACACGATTGAACAAGACTTTTGAAAGAGTGAAGAGATTTAGCACGACGAATATGGAGAGGTAAAGAGTTCCACAATCGCACAGCAGTTACGGTAACGGATTTCTTAAAAAGGAAGAAGAGTGCAAAGGTGTAGGGAGAGAAAGGTTGACGGAGGATCGAAGCAACCGATTATGGGTAAGGGAAAGATACCGGAAACGGTTTTTTTAATTATGAAGAGTCGGAGGATTAAACAGCACGTATAGCGTGCTGTTTAATCCTCCACTCTTCATGAAGAGAATGTGAGTATTCCTGCGGAGGCGGATCGGGAGCCATTCGAGCTGTTTGCGAAATTAGGAGATATGATCATATTTACGAAGTCCAACTATAAATCTAATGCATAAATTTTGAATGCGCTCAAGCTTATTAAGCTGCTCCTCATGTAACTAGTGATCAAACTTTTAAATAAATTCTAAAATAAAAACAAAACAAAATTCCTTAGCAACAATCCATACTCAGTGCGATTAAGTGTTTAACATTAACCTTGGAGTAATAACATACATATTATATTACGGATGTACTTATTCAGCCATTACTGCAGTAAAACGGCAACAATCCACTATTTGTCCAAGCGACAATTATGTGTTTGACATTGGCAGTAGAAATAGTCTATGTTTTATTTTATGTAATATAATGTTTTTTGTTTAACATATTATATAAGTATAAAAATTTTGCTTTTCTGCCTACCTTCTCCATATAAACTTTACCAATTTAAAAAAGGCTACAAAGGCTGTTATTATGACATTACAAACAGACATTTCAATTTTATTTATTCGTATAAACAAGATAAACGTAAGCAAACACGCTTTTAGAACTTGCAGATTAAATATTGAATAAGATAAACATGGAGGTAGGTACGTGTTTACAATCATGTACAGACCAATCAAAGATATGAATATCGATCGATTGCGGACAAATGGTTAATATTAAGTATTGAATAAAACTATTATTTACGGATTTTATCGCGTTAATTTATTTTTATTATTATCCCGACGTTTCGGGTGCTTTACAGCACCCATGGTCAAGGGGGGGGACTGAGATGTTTGACGTCCCAATGTCATAGTTAGTCCGGCTACCTTCAGTTTTTTTAATATTAATTTTTGGTCCGATTTACGCAAAACGAGCTTGTAGTTATAGAGCTTATAGTACTCATGAAGTCTTGCAGTGGTATGCTTGGGTTTGGGTTCAATTTTGTTAATTATAGGATCCCAAGCAGATGGTAGCATCCAACCATCTTCTCTATTGAAATTTGGATGTTTTTTAATTTCAATAGCCTCGCGTATCATCCTTGGTAGGAATCGGTGTTCTTTTGCGAGAATTTGTGGTTTATCAAATCTAATGTAATGGTGGGGACGATCTTGAACATGTTCGCAGAACGCAGACTTCCCGGAGCGTCGGTGCTTCACATCAGCTATATGTTCCTTCACGTGGGTTTTTATAGATCTCTTTGTTTGACCTATGTAAGAGAGACCTCTCTCTCCCAAAAGACCAAACCCAAGCATACCACTGCAAGACTTCATGATACTATAAGCTCGTTTTGCGTAAATCGGACCAAAAATTAATATTAAAAAACTGAAGGTAGCCGGATTAACTATGACATTGGGACGTCAAACATCTCAGTCCCCCCCGTGACCATGGGTGCTGTAAAGCACCCGAAACGTCGAAATAATAATAAAAATAAATTAAAGTAATTAAACGCGATAAAATCCGTAAATAATAGTTTTTATTCAATGTGTAGTGTTCGCGTAAATTTAAGAAATCATGATATTAAGTACCTATGTTTCAATGGTTACCCTTACAGACTATTAAAGTCCACTGCTGAACATAGACCTCCCCCCTTGATTGCCTCATAGTGGGATATATGTCACGGTTGGCACGCTTGGCAAGCGGGTTGGCAATTGCACTTTTTTATTTTTAGTCGTTATTAGGAAGACGCTGCTGCCCGCCTCCTGATTTGCTTCCTTACCAAACGTGTGGGATTGACAAATACCAGTGTAGTTCGTAGCGCCGATAGCGTAATTGTCACCCATTCACCCATACGAGGCGAAGGTAATAATATTTTGTTGGCGTGATGCATAACGCGATCACAATTTTTGACGGCTATAACGTAATCTAATAATTTGCTCCTGAATTTTTGTGTTCAATAATTGGTTCCCATATAACAAATAAGAGATTGTCCTAAATAAGCAAGCTTCTAATAATATTTGTACCGCAGAATGAGCACAGATTATTATATATTTTAAGAGCCTCGTTGATCTAGTGTTTGCAAAAGCGGTTGCTGATCATTCGTTCCCGGGAACGACTTCCGGGTAGAGTTAAAAATCAAAAATAGGGTTATTAATATGAAGTGGTAGAGCTACGCTGCAACTATATTATGATTGTAGCACGAATGGGTCAGCTGGACCGCAGTAGGATCACACTTTCAAAGAATAAAATCACAAAATAGAAACTAAATGCCGCTGTGTTTCGCATGGTGAATTAAAGGAACCTGAGACTCTTTTTACTGGAAACGGGGCATTTCATCTTAGTCCATCGTAGGGTGACAACGCATTTGAATTTTCATTCTTTTTTGGGGATAAATGTGAATTTCTATAAGCCATAGCATCTATTTAACTTTAAGTGGACAATTTATTTTATCGCATTGGGTGACAAACGAGCACACAGTCCATCTGATGGTAAGTGGATGCTGCGGCCCAGAGATATCCATGACCCTATTATTAAGTTTTTCTATCAAGAAATTCTCAGTGTCAGCTCGGAGTTAGGAAGTGTCTCGAAAAGCACGTAAAGTACTCAGCTCTGCGCCTGATCTCTCTATAGTCGTGTCGAATTATCGTCTCATCAGACTACGAGAGTGAGATACTAGAGTGCACCTGTGCTTGCGCATACACTCGGGTACTATAACCCTGTCCCGCGTAGGTGACTGACTGTTCTCAGTTGAGACTGGTCTCTGTGACCAATATTCGGTCTGGAGGTCTATATTATTACTAAACTTGACAGGTATGAGGTACCATATTGCCAATAAAATTATAAAAATGTCTATCATAGCTTTTTTAGTTCCAAATGTTTTTGTGTAAAATAAGCTTTAGTAACGAATCCTGGACCTCAAAGAGCTTGTAATAAGATCATGTTTTTAAAAAACTGCGTAGTCATCGTGATATGTACTTCGTAACGTGACACGTTAACGTGAACAGTGGTGCGTGAATGACCATTTGTAGTGATTCGTAGCCTCGGCACCGGTAGTATAGCGACGCGCAATGTGGATGTGTGTAGTTCTATTTTGTTCGGTTCCGTTGATTGCGGGAGAGCAAGTCCGCGAGGCGAGATTAGTAAATATAGCCCAGGGGCTCGTGCGAGGGTATAAAGCACAAAATGATACTTGATTTGCCTTTTATGGCATACCGTACGCAACCGCACCTACGGGGGATCACAAATTCAAGGTAATAATTTTTATATTAATGTTGTATGCTTCGATCAACAATACCAACAAGATAACGGGTCACGTACAAAACCATAGCAAAATACTGTCCGCGTGAATATATACTTAAACAACTACAATTGTTTACTGAAGAAATGAGACAAAAAATTAAATTAAATTTTAAGTTCAACCTAATTACAACCATCGCATCTATTAATAAAGTCACAAATCTTACGATCATTAGTCACAAAAAAAAACAACAAAGCTATTAGTATTGTATATCCAAGTGATAGGAGTATTACAATATTATCATTATTTATTATCACTTGGAAATGAAAAGACATAGGTTAAATAACATTTAGTGTGAAATCAATCTTAAGTTATTACAAATAAAGTACGTTCTCCCGTTATTGCCTTGAGAGCTACGTCATTTTGTTATGTTTCTATTTCCTTCTTCGAATTTGGTCCAGGAAGTATTGAGTCGCGTTGAACACTAAAATAACTTTATAATGTGATCATAAGTTTAATTAAAATTATTTTTATGTTTTGGGCATTTATGATTGTTTCCTTTATGATTGATTCCACACTAGCCATTAAATATAATATAGTATGTAGTATATTGTTTGCATTTAATTTACTAATTCAATATATATATCTATTTTAGTTTTGTATGTATATATGTTTGTGGTATATGTAATACGATATATATATATATATATATATATATATATATATTCTTTTTTATCGCACCAATTTGCCCTACTCCTATCATCTTCGTATTATCCTGTCCATTAATTGGTTGTCTGGAAGAAATTGCTGTCAGCAATAAGACCACCCATTGCATACTTTTAAAACGTGGTAGAGCCATGCTGCAATTATATTAGTAGTATAGTTGTACTACGAATGGGTCGACCGGGGAAGAAAGCTAGGAAAGCTAAAATAAAAAAAAGTTAAGTATCTATTGCAATTACACAAACAAAGACAAAAGTAGCAATTACCATTGTTTCAAGTTTTGGTAACGAATTATTAAAAATTATTACAATACAAACCTACTTCATGTATCTATGTTCTGTTTCACAAATGTTTGCGCGTGTATTGGTTAACATTGGCAAAATATTTGTAGGGGTGGTTTTGATCGGTAATATTGTTTCAAATATGATATTATTTGTTAGTTTAGAGCTTAAAATATAACATGTAACATCATGCATGTAATTACCGAAAGTAAGACACTCCGGCCATTAAATTACTTTTTCGGGCATTATTCTTGCAACTTTTAAATACACATTGCGGCATTGTGAAACGTGTTTACATTGGCTGTGTTTCAAGAGAACTAAATGAAATAAAAACCAACGTCTCATGTGCACTCTTATTTACTGAGATGGATTTCTTGCGCCGACCCAACATCTAGTTGGTATTGTTGATCGAAGCTTGTATGTTTATAAAGAAAAAAACACAAACCTATTTATTCATTCATTCTTTTTGTCCGTGTATAAATCACAGGTTGTGTGTGATAAATAAGTACCTATCTAAATACCATTGGAAAATATGTAAACGACCAACATAGAATAGATTAGTTTTTAGTTATTTTAATGACTTAAGTAAATTAATATGACAAATATTTTACATTTTCTTAGTTGAAAAATTATTTGTCGACCAAAATATCAGATCCCCATATCAAACTAAATAAAATTTTATTTTATTTTATTTATTAAAAATTTTGCGGATCCATTGGCTAAAATTCGCCCTGTTGCTGAAATAACGGGTATGTGTAAAATAAAACCTCCAGCGCGTTGGCAGCCACCTTTTTCGCTGGATGTTGACAAATTGAAGTTATTTACCACGAATACAAAAAGTAAACGAATTGGAAGCCATTACTCGATTGAACTTGTTATTTCTCGAAAAAGATTTAAAATTTTTGGACTTGCAGGGCTCGCCATTAAAATCCGTATGATTGAAAACAAAACATTAGATTTGTACTGTTTAAAATTTTGGGTGGATGAAGAAGGTGGTTTTGAAAATTGCAATACACCAAAAAAATGGCGTAAGATAGCGAATTCAATGGGCTATAGTCAAAATGCTAATACTATGAATTTTTTAAGAAGCAATTATGAAAAAATTTTGCTGCCTTATGAAATATTTGAAAAAAGTAAAGCTGATATATTAAAGACCGTTAAAAAGGGTGAGACAAAAGTTGAAATCAAAACTGATGGTGATGATGCTAAGCAGGCCTTTAAAGAAGTATCAGAAGAATCAATTACTAAACCAAAAGATGAATCTAAGAATTACATACCTCACACAAGTATTATAAAAACTAAAACTGGATCAGATATCAAACCTGATGTGGACAGTCATAGTATTGTAGAAAGTGAGGAAATGAAATGTGATAGAGAGCTAAGAAGATTAGCATGTTATGGACCTGGGCCCAAAATGCCTGATCTTAATGATGAAGAGTTTGATATAACAAAATCTAGAAAGAGACCAAGATATGATTTAGATCCCTTAGCAGTTTATGTTTGTGCTATTTGTCAAAAAGACCATACTGATAATTTATTGTTGATTTGTAATGATTGTTCTGATACTTATCACACATTTTGTCTTAAACCTTTTTTGAATTCTGTTCCCGATGGAGATTGGCGTTGGCCCTGTTATATAGCTGAGGAGGTACATAAGACAGCAGAGGCCTTCGGCCTTGCTCTGGTTGAAAGGGAATATACTCTTCAACAGTTTGGAGAGATGGTGATAAATTTAAATCTGATTATTTTGGCATGTCTGGCCATTTAGTGCCTACATCTGTTGCAGAAAAAGAATTCCTGGAGAATTATATCGTCAGTGGAAGAAGATGTAACAGTAGAATATGGTGCAGACTTGCACTCAATGGATCATGGTTCAGGTTTTCCAACTAAGTCCTCCTTGAATCTTTATCCTGGTGATCAAGAGTATGTAGATTCAGGATGGAATTTAAATAATCTACTAGTCTTAGATGGTTCAGTGTTAAGATTTATTAACGCAGATATCTCAGGTATGACGGTACCTTAGATGTATGTAGGCATGTGCTTTTCTGCATTTTGCTGGCACAATGAGGGAGTTATCAATTGGAGGATTATCAATAGGAGTTATCAGTTATCACTGGAGTTATTCAATTAATTATTTGCATTGGGGTGAAGCAAAAACTTGGTATGGTGTACCAGGAAGTGGGGCAGAACTGTTAGAGACTGCAATGATAGCAGCGGCTCCAGAGCTTTTCAAATCTCAACCTGATTTACTTCATCAGTTAGTTACTATAATGAATCCTAATATACTGATGGCAGCAGGGGTCCCTATTTATCATACTGATCAACAAGCTGTTGAATTTGTTGTGACATTTCCACGAGCCTATCATGCAGGCTTCAATCAAGAGTATAACTTTGCTGAAGCAGTAAATTTTGCTCCAGACTGGCTTAAAATTGGGCGAGACTGTATAACCCATTACAAGTACCTCAAAAGGTTTTGTGTTTTCTCTCATGAATAACTAATTTGTAAAATGGCTTTAGAAGGTGATCGTCTAGATTTAGAAACAGCTTTGGAAACACAAAAGGAATTAGTTTCGGCTACAGAGGAAGATGGTAGGTTACGAGCAAAGATAGCTAAACAAGGATTGAAAAGTGTACAAAGAACAGCCTTTGAGTTGCTGGGAGATGATGGGAGATTATGTGAGGTATCCAAAACAACATGTTTCTTGTCATCTGTATCATGTGCTGATTGCAAGCATATGGCATGCCTGCAGCATGCCAATGATTTTTGCCAGTGTCCTTTAGATAAAAAGACTCTTAATTATAGGTATGACATGGATGAGTTACACATAATGTAACAGTTTTCATAAATGGATGACAGAAACAAAAAAATTTTGCTTCCAACTGTTCCTGATATAGGAAGAGTCGAGAAATTAAAAGTGTTATTGGATGAAGCAGATGAACTTAAAATACCAAAGAGTGTGTTATTAACACAATTAAAGAACGAGTATACTGCAGCCACTGAAAATGTTGAACCGATTATTATAGAATTAGATGATGATTAAGGAAAATTTGTCAGAGTATACTTTAGTACAAAGTAATCTTCGCTTATAGGTAAGAGTAGATTTTATTGTGTGGCTTAAGACCTCTAGAATTTCAAACTTAATGCATAAGTGTGTATGTTTATAATTTCAATAAATTTCCTGTGGGAAATAATAATGTTATTAACTTTTTGTGTGTAAATGGCAACAATTACATATTTATTTAATGGCTAAAAAGTGAAAACAGGAATAAAAAATAGGGTAAAATATCATCTTCCCATAATTTTATTTTTCTTTATCATAAACGTTTTCTGTTAATGATATATTAATCAATAGACAGAAATAACTTTTTTATTAAAACTTGTGTGTATATTTTGATTGTAATTATATTTAACAAGTAATTGGAAAGCTTAGTTATCACAATCTTTTGTGCAAATAATTGTCTTTTAAGATATATCCCACCGTTTTAATAATAATAATTAGGAATGTCTTATTGTTTAATTTGCTGATCGTCACACTATTTTTGATAAAAATGAGATGTTCCATTTAAAAAATGGATTATGGAAGTGGAAGTGGAACCATTTATTTCTGTATGATCTCAAGTACTTATAGTTAGTTATGTAATGAATATAATAAAAGTGTTAAGGTTGCCAAATAGAAATATTTTTATTCTGTTTCTTTATTGGCCCACTTTCTTATAAAACAGTGGGCTTTACAAATAAATTGTAAACTTCCCAGTAAGAAGTAATAAAAATATAGTAAACCATGGAATATGAAATAAGTCAATAAAAATAACATTGCGTTTTAACATATTAAAAAGTTTCCTATATTCAAAATCTGCATTAGTAAATAGTAGGTACCCAAACACACAAGTAGTGTGACAAAACGCTACAACAGCCGCTTAACAATTATATATAATGGCTAGACCTACATAAGTAAGTGCTACGGTAGGGATAGTGAACGTCTCAAACGTTTCTATGGCACTGAAAAGGGCCCACTTCATACAGGCTTCGGTGCCATAGTAGCGTTACGTTAGCGGCATGGTGTGTTTGTAAAGCGATACAAGAATTTCTTATTCCATCTTTATAGAACTTGCGTATTATCGCGACGCGACTGTAACTCATCTTATGTACCTTAAAGCATTTTAAAGATATTTTTTAATAACGTACCCATGTATATAATTAATAGAATCAATTAATCAATTAATTGAACGAACTGAATTTTGTTCCTCACTCTATTTTTGGGAATTTTAATTTCTAGACTTCGATTTTATCTGAACCAATTCTTCAGACTTCGATTCAAATGGTTTTTATATCTTTTTAGGAATAATGATATCTCTATATCGCTAATTACACTGTCTGACTACCTCGTTGATCTATTGGTCGATTGCTAATCACGAGGTCCGGGGTTCAACAATGGTCGAGCCAATTTCAGTTATTGTGTTTTTCACAATATTATCCTTAATGATTTAAAAAATATCTTGATAAACAAGGTGCAAACTTAGGATTTTCCAACATTTATAAAGAGATATTACTCAATTTTTGTTACAGGCATCACTTCCTCCACCAAAATGGACAGAACCATTCAAGGCCGTCAATAAATATGTAATTTGCCCACAAATGGTATATATGTCTTTGGGAATAGAACTGAAACAACAAGAAGACTGTCTAATCGCCAATATATACGTGCCTGATACGAATGAAAATAATTTACCTGTGGTTATACATGTTCACGGAGGGGCATATCAAATGGGATACGGCGACTTAATGACGGAAAAACAATTCATTAAAGAAAATAATATAATTATAGTTAATTTCAATTACCGTCTCAGTGTACATGGTTTTCTATGTCTAGGTACAGAAGATGTACCTGGTAACGCAGGCATGAAGGACCAAGTGGCGTTGTTTCGCTGGGTGAAAGAAAATATTGCTAGTTTTGGTGGAAACCCTGATGATGTTACAATCAATGGATTTAGTGCAGGTTCATCGTCGGTTGATCTTCATCTTGTTTCGCCGATGACCAAAGGTCTCTTTAATAAGGTTATACCCAAAAGTGGAGCAAGTCTCTCCGTTTTTAGTGTTCAAACGAACCCGGTGAAAAATGCTTGGAAATATACGAAGATGCTTAATTTTACAAATAAGAACAAAAATATTTATGATTTAGAACTTTTTTATAAATCAACATCACTGAATATATTAAACTCTATTAATCTTTTAAATAAACCCGATTCTACGTTTCTTTTTGTATCTTGTGTTGAAAGAAAACAAGGTGAGGTAAGATTTCTTGACGATGCTCCAATAAACGTTTTGAAAAGTGGCCGCAATCATAAACTACCATTGTTATTTGGATTTGCTGAAATGGAAGGACTATTAAGAATGCCAGTTTTTGACACTTATTATAGTAAAATGAATGAAAATTTTGCCGATTTCTTATCCGGTGACTTTAAGTTTTCAAATTCAGAAGAAAAAGAGGAAGTCGCGCAGAGAGTTAAAGAGTTTTATTTCGGTAAAAAACCAGTTGGCAAGGAAACCATATTTAGGTATATTATAGATTATTTTACAGATGTAATAATTGCATATGGCACACTAAAATCTATTCAGTTGCAAGTGGAATCTGGAAACAAAGATATATATTTATATGAATATTCCTTCGTGGATGACAACGTTCCGTTAGTGCCCTACACTGATGTGCGTGGTGCTGACCACTGCGCCCATACAATGGCTGTAGGAGACGGAAATTTCCTAAACGCGCAAGTTGATAAAAAAGATTTTATAAATATGAAGCAATTGATGAGAAAATTATGGTACAACTTTATCAAAACAGGGTAAAACTAATTTTAAAATATTATCATTATAATCATCATTATAGTTTATCAGAAGGCCACTGCTTAAAATAGGCCTCGCTCACAGAGAGACAAATTATAATATAATCAATGTCATGAAATGACCCTAATCGATTATTTTCAAAAAGGAAATAGCATTACAGGAGTATACTTTGCATCATTACTTGAAAAACTGAAGGTAGATATTGCGGAAAAACGACCCCATTTGCCGAAAACAAAAATCTGTTTCACCTGTTTATTTGCTTCAAATTGTAGAAAATATAAACTAATATTATCTAGTCACAAAACAGCGGCCTTCAGAAGCAGTTGCCGCTAAAACGCAAAAATGCTGGAATAATCTTCCCACCCCTTGTAGGTTACGGATAGGCGTATCCTACAAGCAGTGTGATACCTTTTAAAATATAAATTTAAACGAAAAAACCAAGTCACACTGCGTACATCTATAATGGTTAAAGTTTGGTATTTCTTTTAAATATATCAAACGAATTACCGAATTATGCTCCGGTAAATTTGTAGAAAGTTTTATTTTCTATTAAGTAAAAATATGTTCTAATACCTTGTGGTATTATTGTAATCACATTATAACCGGCTCATATCCAGTTATTCATAGATAAAGATCACTACTATTCCCTTTTTTTTTTGTTGCACTTCAAAACGAAAACTAGTTTGACTGAAAAACCGCTCTGAAGCTTAATAGCTTTTATGCAATTTTGACAACACTCGAATTTACTTAACTGGAACACATTTTTGGTGCCGACGAGTAGTGGAATTTTTTTCAGTTTTATTTTGCCAACCATCTTCAAGGTTTGTAATATTTCCATTTATATATAATGTTGTTTAAGACAGTAAAAAAGATATTTTCTCAGCGCTGGGGTAACTGTGACCTATTTGAAATATGAAAAAAGAAACAAATTTTAAAACGTGACCTATTACATATTATATAAGTAGTATAGTTTCGTACGGTTAGTGTAGAGAACCGGAGACCCTTTTTACTGGAAAAGAGGCATTCCATCTTAGTCATCACGGGTGACAACGCATCTGCATTTTTGGATAGATATAGATATCTATGGGCCATAACAACCACTTACCATCAGGTGGACTGTGTACTCGTTTGTCACCGTGTCCTATAAAAAAAAAAGAACGTAAATCTGACCCATTTAGTAAATAATATTTCGCAGCATGGTTACAAATGTGCCTCGAGAGCCCTCAGCCGCACCACGGAGCTATGCTTGTCGACATCGTTTCACGCGTCTCAAATGGTCCTAATAATTGTAGGCTCTCATTTTTATGGTTATTTATTATCATTCAATTCATAGTGTATATATTTAAAACCGTATATATCATAATTTCGAGTAAATAAGGGCTACATTACGTCAAACATTGTTTTATAATCTTCATTAGTCCGTGAGCGGAACATGACAAAGGTCTCTGGGGGATCCCATGGCTCATCTTAATCTTTATCGTTGATGATAGTGATGTGATACTGGCCGTTTTCGTCAACGGCGACTGACTTCGAATACTGTCATGAGCTATGAATACGCATAAGATAGTACCGTAATGTAAGTTGTTTCGCCGTGTAGAAGCGGCGTAAGGTAACCCACAACCCCATACCATCCTACGTGTACTGTAAGAGGCGATAGAGGGCATTGATTTATATATTACACTAGATTAGTAATTACCGCGCCAGTCATATGGCTAGCTAAAGTCAGTTCAGTGTTCAATGTGACGCCAAAAGAGTTGAGCCGAACGATCCGCGACAAAAATGGGTAAATGCGTAGTGAAAGAATGCGTTTCAATGTCACAAAACATAATAAATCAAGCAGAATCATTTTCCACACATAAGTTTTAGTTCATGTTTTCATATAAACGTAAAAACCTAAAATAATTAGATAAAATTGTCGAATATTGCTATTTAGGTTGATGTTGCCACTTTTCCGCCTTTGTGATTATCCCACATTAAGACGACACATCGAAAAGGCTATCGCCGTACTGATCCGAGTGAATACATAATTTCTATAAAAACTTGTAAAAACGCCGTCATAAGGTCTGTAATTGCGTAGCGCCCGCGACGATTAAAAGCGCTTATAAATTGTCAAATCTTAAAATATTTTTTTAAAAATTAATGATTTAAGTAATCAAAATAATGAGCAAGTAAATAATGAAGTTATGAATATATTTGAGTGATTCTCAAGCATATGGATTAAGTAATTTCGTTGTAATTTCAACTATAGTGATTTTTTAGAGGTGTTTTCGCAAATAATTATGATCGAATCAAAATTATACAATCGTGTTTTTGAACAATCAAATTCGAGATAAATACATGAATTTACTTATATCAAAATTCCACTTTCGTTAGTGGTGTCATAGTCCTATACTATTCGATGAAAGGAGGTGCATTTTTTCACGGTGTCGCCTTAACGAGGAATGTATTGACCTTGGTTTTAAAAAAGCAAAAAAAAAAAAAAGGGAAAAAAAAAAAAAAAGAACATAAAAACCTCCAAAAAAGTGTTTAAAAACACGAAAAAAAAGACAATTAATGCCCCCACCCCCCCCACCCACAAAGCAATATAATTAATGGAGTAAGTTAATTTGTTACCTCTGATTTTAAATATTTTGGAAATAATAATAAAAACTACGTTTTAACTTTCATACAAAATAATTAATTATACTTATTTTAGTTTATTCAAGAATCATCTATTAAATATATTTTATCACCTATATTATATTAATAATTTTATATAGAATGTTTTCTATCTCTAATCTATCTTTTAATAGAATGTTTTGAGTCGTGGTAGCCAAGATGGTTAGCGCTCGCCGTAAATTTCACAGTACGCGAGTAAACCGGGTTCGATCCCCGCCGGCACCAATGAAATTGTTAATTGCAATTTTAAGTGCTGATTTAGGTGAAGGAAAACATCTTGAGGAAACCTGCATGTCAGATAAATAAAAAATAAATATTTCGAAGACGTGTGTTCATGTGACATTCGCCAACACGCATTGGGGCAGCGCGGCGGACAATTTCTTGCCCTAAAACCCTCTCAGAAAATGAGCGGAGGCCTGAGCCCAGCAGTGGGACGTATATAGGCTTTTACTTTACTTTAATTTTATAGAATGTTTTTGTTTTTCGAACAAAATTGTAGTGTTTAATTATATGAAGGTGTGTTCGTATATTTAATTATATGAGGAAGTTTTGTTGCAATGAAAAGAACGATTTTAACAGACATTTTTGAATGAATCTAAAAGAGAATTAATTAAATGAAGTTATAAACTGTTCACATAAATCTTTATAGCTTCACTAGTTCCTAGCAACTTCGTCCACGTGGAATATATTACGATTGTATTTTATAGGTTTTAATTTTTTTACGCGTCCCCTTATACTTATTCTAAAATAAAAAGGAGCCTTAGTTACTCCTTATGACAACAACTATCTGCCAGTTAAAAGTCCCGTCAAAGTTGTTCCAGCCGTTTCTGAGATAAGCCGGAATAAACAGATAGACAGACAAAAACTTGAAAAAAGTATTTTTCATTATAAGTACCGTATATAATTTCAAATGCATTTAGTAAAAAGCTAATTTTCAATTTTATTTATTATATAAAGATGTATGCAATTACATTAATATTGTTACGAGCTTGAGGTTCGTGACAATAGAAATTGCCGATAGGATTACCTAAATTAACACTTTTATTTTCTTTACACAAATTAAAACTTAAAACACCAATAATTAAGCACACTAATTCACTTTATTCCGCTCCGAAGCTTCGCTTGTCTCGCCAAATTCAATACTTCCCCGATTGCACCTTGCAGCGCCTATAAATACACATTAGTACCGAATCATCCAGAACATTCAAGTAAATACGCGCACCAATCGACAAGGCGCCGAAAGTTCGAGAGTCAGCTTCCAGAAGCTTAGTTCTTCATTTCGACAACAGATGGCGCTGTCGGTTGAAAGATTAGTGATGTCATTTTCTGGAAAGCTCTCCCCCTCGCTCCGTTACTCGACACTAGATGGCGCTAGTGCCAGATGTCAACTTAGCCGCGCAACACTGCCCCCTCCAAAGACATGCTCGTCCCGAGCATTATCGGCCCCATAATAACGCGCCAGGCGATCCACATGGACGATCTTAGGAGTCCCTCTTGCGCCCTTCTGTATCCGATAGGTTACATCGTTGATCCTGGTCACAATCCGGTACGGGCCGTCCCATTTAGCTTGAAGCTTAGGAGATTTCCCTTTGCTGCGGACCGGATTGTGCAACCACACTAGTGAACCTTCGTCGAACCCTTTGTTGTTCATTTTGCGGTCATACCGGGTTTTCATCTTTTCAGACATTTGCTGGCCCGATTGTCTGACGTGTTCATAAATGTCATTAATTTTGTTCCGCAAGTCATTTGCATAATCGGTTATACTGCGTGGGGCATCAGGTGATATCCCGGTGATCAGGTCTGCAGGCAGCCGTAATTCTCTTCCAAAGTTTGCGAAAGCTGGGGTCACTGATGTACTTTCGTGAACAGCGCTTCGATATGACAGCAAAAACGGTTGTATGTGCATATTCCAATCTCGTTGCCGGTTGACTACAACTTTTGCTAGGTACCTCTCCAATGTCTGATTAAATCGTTCTACCATTCCATCAGATTGAGGGTGATAAGAATTCGTTCTAGTTTTATGAGTACCCATAACTCCTGGAATGCGATATTGCAACTTTCATCCCAGCAGAAATGTCGCTTCTCCTCGGTTAGCTTATGCAGAGGTTTGGCTATATCTGCAAAGTTCTTCACAAATCGCCTGTAGTAGGAGCACAAACCCAAAAATGCTCTAACCTGCGTCTTGTCTTTTGGAACCGGCCAATCCTTGAAAGCGGCAATTTTCTCTGGATCCGTGCGGATACCTTCTTCCGATACTACATACCCCAAAAAGTTAACTTGCCGTTTGAATAGTGAACATTTCTTCGGACTCAACTTGAGATTGACACTCTGAATCTTCATGAGCA